TTGCTTGCTGATAATTTCATCAATTCCAGACACAATTTCTCCCCACATTTTAACACCTCTGAAATGGGATGTGTCTTATAAGTAATAATCCATGTTATCTTACGATTACTGTTGGCCAAGTGGCGGTTATGACTGGACATCTGCGATCCCTTGATATTTCATTTAATTAACCATTTAAAGACCATTCGAAGGAATATGTGCTCTTGTTGTCTAAACATCTTCCTTGAACACTTTCCGGCAAGATCAAAAAAGTCCCGTGCTTTAAAACTTGTTGAATAGGTGTTGTGGCCTGGAAGAAATTTCCAGAGACAATAGTGAAGCTCTCTTTTTAAGAAATGCTGCTTCACTAACACTAAAATGCGCCAGAGAATATAAATACATGGAAAAATGTGGACATCAACAACACCGAATCAATAAGTGATTCAGAAGTGTCAGGCTCAATGTGAAGAAATTATAAAATGCCATAATAACTTTAAGTTATATTTATATGCATTGTACTGATATAAAAATTTTTTTTCTCTAAATAAGTCTAAATGAGCTCTTTAAGAGTGAAAGTTTTAAATATAAGTGATAAGGAAGTATAATGATAATTTAATTGGCAGTATTTTTTCTTTCTTGTGGCACCTAAAATAATGACGTGCCATACAACCGATGGTGACTTAAAAATAAAATAAGGTACATATTTCAGAGGCTATAAAAATGAGAAGCAGCTCCAGCTCATAAGATATTCATAACCTGGAAGGAGGGGGACAAGCAGCACACAAAAAATAATAGAAGTAAGGAAAAATCTAGTAATTATCCCAAAAAGAGGTACAAACAAAAAAAATTGGGGCATTTATGAAAGTGAAAGAGATTGTGTTAGGAAAGGCTCCGTGAAGGAAGTAGCATTTGAGAAGGGCCTCAGAGAACTGGTAGGATTCTAACTGGCAGAGATAGAATGCAATAGGAAGGATAAAGAGAAAGGGCAAAAAATCAGATTAGAAAAATGGGCATTTCTGGGGAATGGTGAAAACCATATTTGGACTATAGGGTTTATTAACTTTTTTGACTTTATAGACCACTTTAAGAATTTGATGAAAGTTGTTAACACTATTCCTAGAGATAAAAGCACAAATTCATAATCAAAATGCTTTGCATACTATTTCTGGAGATTTCCCATTTACAGGTAGTATAAGAGTGGAAAGGGAAAGCAACCTTGCTGGACACCCCATGAGAAGCTGGTGCAGGTGACTAAGGCTGCAGAAGTCTCTTTTCTGCATGAGAGATTTGTATCTGACTACACTTGGGAAGACTAACAGAAATGGAATCCAGGGCCGGGGGAATCAAGGACTCATCTAGCCTACTCGTCCAGAGGTTAAAGGAGTTGGGATACCCTTGGGAATACTTTCTAGCTGACGGGATGATGTGTGTTTCCAATTGATGGGATGGTGGCTAAAAAATTTACCTGAGGAATGAAATGTATGGGTAAAAATGAATTCCAGGCCTTTTTAGGGAGGTCCTTGACTCCCTCCAATCACCAGATTTTATATTTAATTCAGGAAGTAATAGGGATATGACTCAGATTTCTGAGGAGAATGCATGTTCAGAGCTGTGGTTTAGGAAGATTAACCTTCAGCTTTACAGGTGTGTAAGAGGCTGTGGAGACCTGTTAGAAGTTTATTGCATTGGTTTTTATATTCTTCAAATACATTTTATTTATTCAATTTCCTCTTCTGTCCCTGCCACCCACTGTTTGGCAGAGAGCCCAGCCTTTAGTAAGCATTTGGTAGTGCTCGCTGAATTGAAAGCCATAAATTCACTTTGAGGGTCCCCTTGTAATGTTCCTACTCCTCGCCTGGTGGCACCATTACAGCATTATTTACAGAGCAGGCTTCTCTCTCTAAGCACAGTGCTTCCAAGCAGAAAGGCTTTGTTTCTTGGGGGAATTCACCTCTGGAAACAACCTAGAAGGAGGGTTAGGGGAATGGTAGCTGTGATAAAAGATTCAAGAATACTCTTTTTGTACTTCTATATCATTTCTTACTGTAGCAGAGTATCTTGGCTGAATTTCTATTCCTAGGCATGTAGATGGGGAATGATGCTTAGGAAAACCTGCCTTTTCAAAGGCGCAAGCAGTTTTTTGTCTTGCAAGAAGTATAGACTTAAATATATTTGGGAAAGAACTTTTCCTTGTTTGTGGGGAAACTGGGTAAGCCATTTCATTATACATGTCAAGCAAAGACCGTATTTTGTGGTGATACTGAGGCCACATAAAACTGCAGATTTATGTTGGAGGCCAGTTTGCAACTCTTAGAGAAATAACTATTTCTCTAGAACAGGTTTTAGACGTACCAGGCTAAAGTTGCGGCTTATTTCTACAGAGTCTTATGTGTTTGCATTTTGAGGTTAAGAGCTAACCCTGAGAGATTTCCCTTAGACCAGTGAGAGGTAGGAACTGAAAGAAACCGAAAGAGTTGTGATAAATTGCACACCGTATTGTGCTGGGCCCAGACATGAAGTGCAGCACAAAGCTATGGAGGGGACCATCTCCTCACCTCTATATATCAGCAATGCTCTGGCAGATTCCAAGTACTAGAATATTCTTAGCACCTTCTAATGGGTGTCAATATAATTTGCATTTGTTGAGTAGGTGATAAATAATTAGATTCATGTGACAATTTCAATTTAGTGTAAGAAATCCTCCGAAGGCCCCAGGAGGTAAGGATGTATTGTGGGTTCAATACGGTACCAGTTCAGGCAGGATCCATTTCTTCTTTGGTATTTTTCAAGTTAAAAAGTCTCATTACCCTTTAGCTTAGTGATTTTTACTTTTTAACTTCTTACCTTTAAGAATTAAGTTGAAATAATAGATCTCTCTAGAGAATGTACATACTTACATGATTTTTGCATTCAATTTCAAGGGTCTATGGCCCCCTAGAATTCAATAGAGATCCTGTTCATGAGTCCGAGGTTAAGAATCTCACCTGAAATTCAGTCATCAGGAGCATTCCAAAGGAGAAATTCAAGAGGAGAGTGAGGAATAGGAAGGAAGGAGGAGGTGGGAGACCAATTTGTGTTGGCTCCTTATGAAATGCCAGTGCAGGTGACTGAAGAAAGCTGAAGAATTGCTTTTTCTAGGGAGATTTTTTTTTTTTTTTAATCTATCTGGACTTGGAAGGACTAGGTGGAGGACTTCTAGAAGGCCCTGAGCTAAGGGACTGATGACACATTTAGGACAGTGGGCACAGGAAGGGGAACCAAAATGAAGTCAAGGATTAAAGGGCTCAACCAGGCCTTTCTACAGAGATTAAAGGGCTATTCTGCCTTGGGATTCGTGTCAGACTCTGCAGAATCTGAGCTACAGGGAACAGGAAAGAGGCACAAGAATGGAGCTGTGTCAGGGAGTATCTGGGGACATCGTCTTCTTCCTATCAAGGAGCAGGTCCAGAAGGCCACAATCTTGGTGTCATTATTGTACTGTCGTCCACTGAACTCTGAGAAGGGTTACTAATCAAAACCTGAATTACAATTTCTTGTTCCATTTGAAAAAATAAAAGGTGACTGAAAGTAACAGTATTTCCTTTGCAGGACTCTTGAACTCTTGACTAGGGAATAAGAGATCCCCTTCTCTGGAGATCCAAATAATAGAGCAATTAGCAGCATGGCTCCCAACTAGGGTTCTTTAAGTCAGAAGACCTGAGTTTAAATTTTGCAAAGTATGAGCTGTGTGACCTTGAACAAGTCTCGGAGTCTGTTTCAGAACTGTTAGTGAAAATAGTGCCTACTTCATATGGGCACAATGTCTGGCATACAGTAAGTGCTCAATAAATGATAGCTATCATTGTTGATATTGGCGAATACTGGAATAGGAACTTATCTCAAGCCACTTGCCAGGGACACTTCCCCACTAATATACTTCAGCTGTCCTCTGTAAAGCCCCAGCCCATATTCCTCAACCACTACACAACTCGAGGCTTCCTCTGGTCATACTATGTGTACAGGGCTGGTCTCCAAGAACTTTTTGGCCCATAACTGCATGAACTTTATGATGAAAAGGCTTATGTCAGCTTGGGAATTTTATCATCCCCCTTTACTTGATTATCTGGAAGGATAAGAGTTTTTTTAAACGGGGAAGGATTATATAAAAAGAACTTCTAGAACCTTCCCTGCCC